TCCAAGCAAATATGACTGAAATTTTTATGAGCCGCTTAGTAGTTAGATTATTTATGCATTTACACAGTTTAGGCGATCACTGCATTTATGTTGATCTCATAAAGTAGTATAGAAAAAAAAAACTTAGTAAAGTTACCTCTAATCCGGCCATGATCAGAAAGATCCACAACCTAAAAGAGATACAAAAATAGTTCTTATGAGAAATTTATCATCCAGTTCAGAAGCAGCTAGTGAGACTAAACAAAAGCATATTATAACAGTGCTTTATCATGTTCCACTACACACACAAAAGCTACTGCAGATACTGATAGAAACTTGTCTCCAAAATTAACACAGATGTCCATATCAGAAGTCTTAAAATAAAGAGGTAATGGCATAAAAAGAAAGGTGAAACAAGAATAGATGAGCAGCCAAAAATGACAAAAATATACGTCATTAGATGCAAATAAATGATTTTAGCAATACATGATGTTCATGAATTCTTGGCCCTTACAGCCAAAACTACATGGGCTATAAATCTAATCTCCGAGATCAATAGAGAACTGAAAGGATAAAAAATGGAAAGCATAAAATTTGTCTTCCTCACGCAAACCAAAGCAGAGTAGGTACTCATGCAAATACTAAATCCAGAAGATGGATTCACTAAGTAGATCAGAAATGGAAGATTTCAAAGCAAAATAGATGCCCACCACAGCACCATTGTCAACCGCATCCAATGCCTCGTCGTCATTATCAAAAGTTTCATTTTTCGTGTGATCTGCCACCTTTGCCTCAGCAGCCGTTGTTGCATCCTGAAAAGGACCAGTAACGAACCCAAATAATTTGTCATTTTGTACTCCATACAAAATAGAAATAAGGCATGCTTGGCTAAAGTTTTACAAAAGTTACAAATCCCCTTTTAAACCATAACGATTGTTCACGAATACTATGGCATGAATACTCATTGTGTTCTTCATACTGCCAAAAAATTCCCTTTTTAGCTCAGCCAAAATGCTATCATAATCCTCTAGTTCCAGTGAGAAACATTAATATTAATAGCTGTATAGCAGAAGTAAACATTCTCAAAATTGAAATTATTGATAATTGATACGCAAAAAGACTTCAAAAAATCGTTTATAGAATAAGGGAAGTGTATGTGGGTCTTACGAGGGGGTCATAGTCAATAGGAGGAGGACAGAGGTCTAAAGGAAATCCACGAGGAAGATAGAGTTTCTTCTTCCTGATATTCTCATTAGGACAGAGAACTGCCCCGTTTTGAAGCATCGAAAACGGCGTCGGACTGAGGAAACGCCATGGAATTGCTGCTCTGTAAGTACAGGAAGCAGTAGATGGGAGGAAGACAGTTGCGGAAGCCATCTGTCCGTTCGATGCCGTTACTGGATTTGGGCTTTATATATATACTTTTTTTAAATAGCCCAATAGAGACTAAATGACTCTACTTAATGGGCCCACTTGTAACCCATACTCTTTGAATGGATTGGGCCTTACCCAACTTCGAGCCCAATTCAAATAGTAAAAGAAAGAGAAAATTAGACAAAAAACACGTCTTTTATTTTTGAATAATGTTATTTGCCGACGCTTATTATTATAATCGCCCTACGTAGTATATATGTTACGGTTAGTGATTGTTGTATAAGGTAATAAAAAAACTACAACATTAATGTATCAAATCACTAACCACCACATGTATATCACGTAGGGCGACTACGGTAATAAGCGATTTCTAATAACATTACTCTTTAGTTTTCCTTCCCATAAATCAGGTTACACATACAAATTTTTCAAAAATAAGATATTTATTATAAAAATAAATAATATAAATTTATTGTTAATACTTTAGTTTATATTTTCTGGAATCTCAACAATCGAAGTATAGTTATTTGAAATTCAATTTTTAAAATTCAATTTTTATTAATCTAGAATGTACTCCCATTTTTCTTTTCCAAGTGACAGAAATTATATTTCTTTTACAATAATCTTTCTAATTTAGTTTGCATTTATATTCACGTCAGAATTTCAAATCTCAGTCATTGAAAAAAATAGAGGTCATATTTCACATGCCTCTCTAGTCATATAACATTGGTCGCATTTGAACGGTTGCCGATGACGAGACATACGCCAAAGTCGATCCATTTTTTTTTATGTAAATGCCTTAATTTTAGACGGCAAATGAAACGAGAAAGTCTAATATCTCACATAACGCAGGGATATCGACAATGGAGGCCACACATATAACTTACACAAATATGGATATGGGTAATGTTTTACAGATCACAAATAACATTGGAGATTATATAATGAATGTCACAAAGTCTAGCATGTCATTTCACTAATTAGATGGACAATTGTATTAATAGTCGCAAAACATGCCAGATTATTATCCATATTTCTTTTACACTGGTCTCAACAAAAGATCAATCCAATCACAATCCCATTTGGTTCATGTATGCAGATGGTTGCATAGATGAATATGGAGAGAGAGAGTACTTTGTTGACATTTAGGATGAAATATGGTGAGAGGAAAAATGTATCTATATATCACGTTTTGCCTTTGTATATCCATCAATTTCAGCCACATTCCTTGTCTCATACAATTTCATTATTATATGTTGATTTTTAAATTTGTGAATTATGACACGATTTATGTAAATTTTCTCAAAATTTGATATATGCGAAAACGTAAACTTAAATAATGGTAGGTACAGATTTTCCCCTTTATTTATTCTTTAATCATGGGCTGAATCATATGAATTTAGCTCTCGTTTGGATCCCATTAAATTAAATTTCATTTTTTTTTCTATTTTCAATCACACAATCTTCCATAAAATAATATTACATATAAATCGAAAAAAAAATTCTTCTTTTTCAATCATTCATTTTCCAAAAAAATACTATTACACCCATTTTAATTTGAAAAAATAAGGGCCAAACAAGGGCCACTATTTAACACCGTCTCCCTTCAAGTTTGTTTCGCCCCAATAAATAATAAAAAAAGGGAGAGAGAGAGAGAGGGGAAGGAGTGAAGTATGGGGAAAGCTCCTTGAACAACCCGTCGCAGGCACACCCAATAAGGGGGCGTCACGCAACCCCCTGAACGTTCAGGGAATTATTCAGCAAGCAGCGCTCACGAAGTATATAGAGATAAATGTAATAAAGAGAGAAAAAATTTAATTCCAACCCAAAAACCAAGAAGGATTACTAGGGAAAATGAAGCACTTGTACTACAAAATATGTCCCCTATGTACTACCTTGTTACACTTTGTACGAGCAATAAAAAGCAATAAACAAATCCAAAAGGAGATAATTCATGTATTTGCTGTGTACTATATTGGATCATCACTTCACCTATTTATCGAGGAAGTTTATTAATTACACACATATCAAATTCCTTATTAAGCCTTGGTCGGGCTAAAAATAAAATTTTAGTAGATTTAAATAAAGGGAACAATACATAACCCAGGATTTTAACGTACACCATTTCATTTTTAAGAATTAAAGTTTAAATATACACAAATCAGGTCATAAATTATACTATATATATATCGTATGATTACAAACGGCTCCTTAAAATAAGTAATCTATTACAATTTCTGTAGAAATTTCGGTCACAAATCAATGCTACATCCTAAAAAAAGAAGCTCGAGCAATCGTAGGAAGAAAATCATTTCACATTATCGGAATCGACCTCGATACCAATCGGAATTAATTGATCCGTAATCAAGCAACCATCGTTCTTCACGGGGGTTTGTCGAATCTGGATTACAATCAGGTATGTGATTCCAATTTTGAAATCCTATGACAGCGTCTGTATTCATCTTGTGGGTTCGAATTCAACCAATTCATGTTAGGGCATTACGATTTACAGACAGTTGCCTATGTGACTCAGCTGCATTATGATTGTGGACGTGAAATCATAACGTTATGGATAGTTACTTATGTGACCAATCTCAATATGTAGCATGAATTTCAATGTGTGACCGTCATAGGTGATTGGAATTGACTGCATGTGGTAGTGTTCTACGTATGATACAGAATTTTTTGTATGTACCCTTGAGTTGTATATGAAATCATACTTTCTGTCAGTGCCAAGAACTATATAAATATGACCATAGCAGATACCTTAAACTGATATATGACTGATTTTCTCATCTAAATCCGACAGTTTTCCTTTTGAATTTTGCAGAAATGGGATATGTGCACGTTTGCTTGTTATACGAGTCACAGTCAGCACTAGTGATGGTTGATCATAATTGTTGTTATATAAAGCTTGTGAAAACAACAGTGACAGAGTTCAATCTAGATCCTACTAAGGTAGCTGTCACAATGACTTACACACTGAATGTTGATCTGCCTCCAGTAAGAATAAGTAGTGATAGTAATGTTCGAACATACGTGACTCTAAAAATTGTAGAGCGTGAACCGTCAAAATACCCCATAAACATTGAGGTGACATCTACAGAAATATGACATGAATCGCTCAGTTCTATATTGGACAATCCAACTGCACTTTATGTGCAATCTAGTGCAGGGATGTATCCGTTGCAGAATATAACAACTGACATATGTGATGCAGTTGTAGAAACATCCCAACGCATGGATGAAAATTTGATCACAATTGTTTTCATTCCTGATGCTATGAATATAGAAGAAAGCAGAGTGTTTTGCAATAAGGATATTTTGAAATTGAGCATGTCTTTCTTTATCATATAAAATATGTTTGAATACGTGGTAGTTCGATCAGATAAAAATGAGTATCTAGTCAAGTGCTCACATGATGATTGTAGCTAGATATGTAGGTCTTCAAGGTTGGGAAAAATAGAGATTTTCAAGATTTGATAACCGATGGTCACACACGTGCTTCAAACATAGTTTTAGGAGCTCACAGGCAAGTCTCAACATTTGTGGTGTCCTCATGCATCAAGTATAAGTATACATCATCGCGTACTGTATACACTACGAACGATATATGTAACGACATGTTGCATACATATGGGGTGACAATGAATTATGTTAAAACTTGGAGGTCGAGGGAAAGAACTTTGAAACTAATCAGGGAGGATCCAACAGAGTCATTTCAGCAGCTACCAAGCTACTTTTATATGCTTGAACAAACAAATTCTGGAACGGTGACAAAGTTGGAAGTCGATGGTCACAATAGATTCAAGTATTGTTTCATGGCACTTGGTGCATCGATTGAAGGATGGGTCCACTGTAGGCCTGTAATAGTTGTGGATGGCACGTACCAGAATGGGCACTACGGAGGCACTCTATTTACATCTTGCACACAGGATGCTAATAACAGTATCTTTGTGCTTGCATTCAGTGTTGGGGATAACGAAAATGATGCATCTTGGACATGGTTTTTAGAAAACCTTAAGGGTGCTTATGGTAATAGGGAAGGACATTGTCTTGTATTAGATAGGCATAACAGTATAAAGACTGCAGTCGAACAGGTGTATCCGGGTACAAGCCATGGAATTTATACGTATCATTTTCTACAAAACTTGAAATCACACTTTGGTAAATCAGGTCACAATATAACGCCACCATTCAATCTGGCTGTTCATACATACACTTTGTCAGATTTCGAGTACAATAAGCAACAGTTGGACACAATCAACAAGAAGATTAGAGGTTACTTTGTATAATTTTACTTTCGTACATGTACATACTGTCCGTGAAAGGTGTACGCCTTCCAACCTAATAATGTTTTGGCTTCACAGGATGAAATTGGACTAGAAAGGTGGTCACGGCTCCACATGCTTGCAAATAGGTACTCTATGATGACCTCTAATATAGTGGAATCCGTCAATACAGTCACAAAAGTAGTGAAGAACTATCCTATTATAGCGTTGTTGGATTCATTGCAACAAACAATACAATCTTGGTTTTTTAAGAACAAAGACACGACATATGACACATTCACAAAGTTGTCCACTAAGTACGAGAAAATGATGAGAGAAATGAGCACATCTTTGAGGAACACAAGGATGACGATCATATTTGTTACATTACATCATATACATATATATGTGACTTGGTGGAATATCCAGTATGTAAGATATGTGACTTGACATTATCCTTTTCTTTGTTCGCAGGTATCTCCAGCAAACTAAACAATATTTTTGGTTGCTGATGAGGGATCATCATTTGTCGTTGATATAGAGAAACGAACTTGCACATGTCGGATGCTTCAAGTTGATCAGATGCCATGTCCACATGCATTGGTTGTAATAGCAACAACTAAACGGGATCCATACGATTATTGTTCGTACTTCTACACCCGTGAAGCGTACATAAATGCATACCAAAACATAGTATACCCAGTGAGGAATCCAAATGAGTGGATTGTGGCCCCGAAAGTTGAAGACGTAATTGTCCTAGCACCTAATCAGAAAAGGAGCTCAGGTAGACCTACTGAAAAGAGGAGAAGATCGTGCATTAAGGGGAAACAAACGGTGAAATGTGGATGTTGTGAAGGTAGTGGTCACAATCACAGGACATGCAACAACCTGCTTCCATTAGCGAAAAAATAATTCAAAATCATGTGAAATGTTAACGGTATCGACATTTTAGCGTTCATTACTTTGGTTCGTTAGGCCCTTACATGCACACAATTTAGGCTTACATTTTAATTGATCTGTGAGAAACAAAATATGCAATGAACTTTTCACATTAACATTCGTATATTTTTTCTTCTCTCCACGAGATGTGTGCATCTGTCACTTGTAACAGCAGTTATGCAGACATATGTCTTGTGACCTGTAACAGCAGCTGTGCAAATATATTAAATTTCGGGACCTGTGACATACAGTCATGTGACTTGTGATATGTGCATAGTCATGTGACCCAACTTGTCAACAACAACCTGTGACCAAGGAATACAGATCGAAGAATGTGACTGCAACTTAATTACCTATGCACATGTGCACATAGTGATATGATTCTGGGACATGTACACATAGTCACTTGGCATGTGATGTGTGACCTTTGCAAATAATACTGTTACCCATTTCAACTATGACTTGTGTACTTGATATAGTGACCTGATATATGTGACCATCCTCAAAAAATCTTTGACCTGTGAACATACCGTAACATGTGATATGTGACCCATTTCACAAACATATGTGACCTGTGTACAAAAACATATGAAACTCTGGTCTGTGACCTATATCACATACATATGTGACCTGTGTACAAATACATGATAACTTGAGGTTTGTGACCTATGACACAGACATCTGTGACCTGTTTCAAAAACATTTTTGACCTGTTTCACAAACAACTGTGACCCGTGATGACCCATTTCAAAATAACTATGACTTGTGTACTTGATTTTGTAACCTGATATACGTGGCCAGTCTAAAAAAATCTTTGACCTGTGTACATAATACTGTAACATGTGATATGTGACCCATTTTATAAACATATGTGACCTGTGTACAAAAATATATGGAACTCTGGTCTGTTACCTATGTCACATACATATGTGACCTGTGTACAAAAATATGATAACCTGAGGTTTGTGACCTATGACACAGACATCTTTGACCTGTTTCAAAAACATTTATGACCTGTTTCATAAACTTCTGTGACCCGTGATGACCCATTTAAAATAACTGTGATTTATGTACTTGATTTTGTAACTCGATATACGTGACCAATCTCAAAAAATCTTTGACCTGTGTACATAATACTGTAACATATGATATGTGATCCATTTCACAAACATATGTGACCTGTGTACAAAAACATTTGGAACTCTGGTCTGTGACCTATGTCACATACATATGTGACCTGTGTACAAAAACATGATAACCTGAGGTTTGTGACATATGACACAGACATTTATGACCTGTTTCAAAAACATTTGTGACCTGTTTCACAAACTTCTGTAACCTGCGATGACCCATTTCAAAATAACTGTGACTTGTGTACTTGATATAGTGACCTGATATACGTAACCATCCTCAAAAAATCTTTGACATGTGAACATAATACTGTAACATGTGATATGTAACCCATTTCACAAACATATGTGACCTGTGTACAAAAACATATAGAACTCTGGTTTGTGACCTATGTCACATACATATGTGACATGTGTACAAAAACATGATAATTTGAGGTTTGTGACCTATGACACAGACATCTGTGACCTGTTTCAAAAATATCTATGACCTGTTTCACAAACTTCTGTAACTTGTGATGACTCATTTCAAAATAACTGTGACTTGTGCACTTGATATAGTGACCTGATATATGTGACCGATCTCAAAAAAGTTTTGACCTGTGTACATAATATTGTAACATGTGATATGTGACCCATTTCACAAACATATGTGACCTGTGTACAAAAATATATGGAACTCTGGTATGTGACTTATGTCACATACATATGTAACATGTGTACAAAAACATGATAACTTGAGGTTTGGGACTTATGACACAGATATCTGTGACCTGTTTCACAAATATCTGTGACCTGTGATGACCCATTTCAAAATAACTGTGACTTGTGTACTTGATTTTGTAACCTGATATACGTGACCAATCTCAAAAAAAATCTTTGACCTGTGTACAAAATATTGTAACATGTGATATGTGACCCATTTCACAAACATATGTGACCTGTGTACAAAAATATATTGAACTCTGGTCTGTGACCTATGTCACATACATATGTGACCTGTGTACAAAAATATGATAACCTGAGGTTTGTGACCTATGACACAGACATCTGTGACCTGTTTCAAAAACATCTATAACCTATTTCACAAACTTCTGTGACCTGTGATGACCCATTTCAAAATAACTGTGACTTGTGTACTTGATTTTGTAACCCGATATACGTGACCAATCTCAAAAAATCTTTCACCTGTGTACAAAATAATATAACATGTGATATGTGACCCATTTCACAAACATATGTGATATGTGTACAAAAACATATGGAACTCTGGTCTGTGACCTATGTCACATACGTATGTGACCTATGTACAAAAACATGATAACCTGAGGTTTGTGACCTATGACACAAACATCTGTGACCTGTTTCAAAAATATTTGTGACCTATTTCACAAATTTCTGTGACCTGTGATGACCCATTTTAAAATAACTGTGACTTGTGTACTTGATTTTGTAACCTGATATACTTGACCAATCTCAAAAAATCTTTGACTTGTGTACATAATACTGTAACATGTGATATGTGACCCATTTCACAAACATATGTAACCTATGTACAAAAACATATGGAACTCTGGTCTGTGACCCATGTCACATATATATGTGACCTGCATTAAAAACATATGTGACATGTTTCACAAACAACTGTGACCTGTGATCTGTGGCCCATTTCAAATACGTCTGTGACCTGTGAGCATAACATAGTGTCATTTATTCTGTGACCCAATCCACGAAAATTTGTGACCTGTTCAAACATTCTTGTGACTTGCGATCTGTGTCTACAACACTGTGTCCAATGTACATGAACATATAACAAATCAACACTTTTACCAAAAGCATTCACCACACCGACAACAAGACATAAGCCAAACGATCATACGGGAACTGTCATATATACAATTCTCATAACCATAGGCAAGTTATTTTGTTTTCATTAACACACTTAAAACAATAAGCCATTTCAAGTTATATGAACAAAATAAACTCCATCCATTGTAGAAACATAAACCACCAAAAAGTATTATAGTCACTACACAAACTTTCTACAGTCACTATATGACAATGTTCTCTCCCTTCGACTGAACCAACTGAATTGGCTTCTTGATATCCTTGTGCTTAAACAATCGGGTGACAAAGTCCAACCTAGCTCGGCTTGCATAAAAAATTCATCGGCATGGACTTAATGTCATCACGTAGCATGTACTATGCGTACTTAATGACGAAGATGCCACAATCATGACTGAATAACAAATTCAAGAGGTAACATATGAGAGATGACAATATGAGTGAAAATTTGGAGATAAAAAACAATTCATAAAAAGGAAAAATAAGTCACAAAATTGTACCCATTTTGTTGATACGGAGTGTCATATACGAGCAATACCCTTAAAACAATTGGATCTTTGCCCGAATCAGCAGAGGTTCTTTTCCATATGCCCAAAGCAAACAATAATTGCGGGATAACTCTGACAAAGGGGTCAACCCCGACCAAAACCATTTTCTCACGGTAAGTCTTGTAGCTTGAGTTGTATAAGTACATCTTATGATTTTTTATGTCAAGTTTACAGAGCATCCAATGTGCACGATTGATGGGCAAAATTGGTAAAAACACATAATCAACTTCAGACCAAGGGCGATTGAATTCTAAATTTCTACCAGTAGCAACGTCAACAATATCTTTATCCGTCAATATCACATCTAGATCTTTCTGAAACTGGGGAAATATGTTTTTTATATTAGCCTGGAACAGACTATCAGTTGTGGTAGCACATAATCTTGCATCTTGACTTCTCAGGACAAACTGTCGCAGATAGTGAAAACAGACGTCCATATGCTGTAAAATGTGACAGAAAGTTTATTAAGGCACGGAAAGAGTGACTTATGAATGCTGTAAAGTGTGGCACACGTTTAATGTGCCTCACACAGAAGACTGGTGACCTGTGAATATTGAAACCTCCGATCTGTGACCCATTTCAAAACAACTGTGACCTGTGTATATAATATTGTGACCTGTGTGCATAATATTGTGACCTGTGATACATTTCATGAACTTCAGTGACATGTGCACACTAATGTGATCTGTGACCCAATTTCAGGAATCTGTGACCTCTGCATGTGTGATCCGTGATCCCATTTCACTGAACTGTAACCTGTGAGTGTGTGACCGGTGTACATAATATTGTGACTTGTGATATGTGACCAATTTCAAGGATTATACCATGCTACTCATTGAAGATTCCGAATCTATAAGTTGATACCACCAGGTTTTTAACCCCACAGGAATTGAATCGAGTACAAAAAGTGGACGAATGATATCATCAACATCATTAAACTTCTTTCTGAAACGGAAAAATAACAGCTAAATATAAATTAAAAACCCAAATTACCCCCAACTTCATAAATAAGAGCACACGACATCATATGTACGTACTTGTTTTTTGGTTTATAACCTTTGTTAAACCAATTTTGAAATGCAACAACATTAGTCTCATCCGCATGCTTGTCATACTTGTAAAAAACAATAGCATCATCAGAATGCTTAATTTGTTTTCCAGCATCGGTAACATACGAGGACTGTAGTATCCGTGTGGGTTTGGGGGCTCTCTTAATTGGCCGACCTGATGTTGGTACGGAAAGAGGAGACCCTTGCATGCATGTCGGAAAATAATGAATGTATTGTTTGAATAAATATATTTGTGCAGACAATATATCATGTGATCGCATAGTTGTGACAGGTACATAAATATTTGTGACATATATCGTATACATAAACATCTAATAATATCACGTGTAAGGATGAATGGTGATCTGCATGCATTGCCACATTTTCAAGTCAATATATAA